CTGACCGACTTCCAGCGGCTACAGTAGGTATAACCGTCACCGTTATCAGGTGTTTAACTAGTTAGGTCGACCAACAACTAGTTAAACTGAAGCTAAGCAGCAGCGATATGTTCTGAATAAGTTGGAGGATAGTTTCCAGCGGTACCGTTACATTACGGAGACGGTACCGCTACAGGTGTGTTAGCTAGCGGGCTACAGGTGTGTTAGCTAGCGGGCTACAGGTGTGCTAGCTAGCGGGCTACAGGTGTGCTAGCTAGCGGGCTAACTTAGACACTCGTTAACAAACCGTGCTGTGCTGTTCTGTCTTCTCTTCAGGACACTTCCTGTCTTCCTGAGCTCCTCCAGTCCACCTCCAACTAGTCCTCAACCATGTCGGGCGGTAAGTCAGTCACACACAGGAGGGGTAAACTTAAAACACAGCTAATCTCAGGCATAATTAACAAGTTATTAGCTGGATCAGAGGTTGACATCTTCTCCAGGGGCAGATGAGCCATGACAGGAGTTCACATTTCTGTCAACAAAACTCTGTGCAAGTCACAAGAAATGTAGATTAAAACAACTTAAACACAACAGACTAAAGTTCTGTAATTAGAAAAGTAAATATAAAGGCTTGTAATGGGGCAACTTCTCCCCTGATACAGAGAAGATCCATCCATCCATCCATCATCTACACACCGCTGAATCCTCACTAGGGGGGCTGGAGTCCATCCCAGCTGACTCAGGAGACACCTGGACAGGTAACCAGTCTATCACAGAGAAGATGCCCCCCTAGAAAGGAAAAACAAAAAAGAATTATACGTTAAGTGGCAATACTCAAATAATCACTGATTGTTTTTGTACCCAGCAGTTCATTAATCTGATGCATAATTAACCCTGTTCAGGACTTTCATGTTCCCAGACGTAGAAGATGCTTCAGGGTCCATTAAACTCCAAGAAAGAATAAGTGCAAAATATTTGCTGGTATTAATTCTAGGCTTTTATACTACGTTCAATGACTGTTCTGGTAAGTTGACGTGTTTTTGGTTCCAAATGCACGACAAATGTCTTCACAGATAATAAAACAATACCTGTCACCTAAACCAAATAGGCTGGGCTCCAAAAGACCCCAAAAGTCCTGAATAAGGTTCACAAGTTTGCACATCTGGATGACAGCGAGTTCCTGCCCCGGGTGGAGGGGCATCTTGTCCAGGTTGTAGAGCACGATGCTCCGCTACCAGCCTTTACATTTAGTTTTCTAACAACAGAACTCGAGTCTGTTCTAGTTGTTGTGATCTGAATGTGTTCACTTCAGCACAGTTCTTGTGACTTGACAAGAGTTTAGTTGTTAGAAAACTAAATGTAAACGAGTCAGTGAAGATGCCCCCCAGTCGTCCCTCACTGTCGTTCTGATCCACATGTACAAACTTTTTAATTATGCATCAGATCAACTTCTTTTCTTTTTTCTTTTCCACGTCTCTTTGGTATCGCTCTGACTTCTGTCTTTAACTGCAGAAACAAAATCAACTTATTTGATTATTGCCAATCAAAACAGAACTGAAAGGTCGAGGACTGAAGTTTCAGTTTTACTATAACATTATAATCATTCATATTTTAATTCCTGACATAGAAATGGTGCCAAATAATTACCATCGAGGCTTAGCCTGGATCAGCAACAAATTCAAGATATAGCAAGTGTTATAAAGAGTCAGACAGTTAACTTTTGACACGGATAAAAACTTTTTTTTTTCCTGCTTGGTAGCTATTATACGACTGTATTAGAGGATGATGATTAAACTTTTTAGAAATCTAGGGAAGAGCATTTAAAACCATTGATTTCCATGAGAAGGTTCCTTCTCTTACACTTTATTTGTTATGTGTTGTTAAAGCTAAAGGGTCAGCCTGCATGTGACTCTCATGTTTCAGGTATTTTGTACCATCAACACGCTTCAGAACCACTTCTGGTAGTTTTCTCAGACCACTAAACGGTATTTCAGTGCTGTTTAAAGATTAGCAAGGCTGCTATTATTCCAGAAGAGACCTGAAATGAAAGTCGTCTGTTTTCAGTGGTCAGGAGGGGAATTACAGTGCGACGGGAGACCTTATTACTTTGGGGTCCATCTTATCCTGGTTTACCATTTTTTAGTCGTGTCTAATGTTGGATTAAACTTTATCTAACACTGTTGTTAATCTCAAATCCACATGCATGATCAGAAAGGGTGCAGTAGTTTATATAGGCCAGAATCACAGTGTCGTCATAGTTTTAGTGGCTGACAGGTATTTTTATTTCCTTGTGCAGATACCAGTGCTGATTATTTGTATTCATGGACACCGAAAACTGATATTTGGACTGTCTGTAGGTTATTATTTTTGACGTTTAACCTATTGGGGGACACTGCTGTTGACCACAGAGTGTAAAAAAGAACAGTGGTGACTTAAACCGAAGAACAACCTTAGACTTTTGTGTGTATTTTCAGTCAATACATACAGTAAAACTTCCCTTGAGTATCTGTTTTTGCTATAACAGGGTAACTGTAGACGTCTTTAAGCCTCCTGCATTTTTCAAAACAGTTTGGCACAATGCTCAAAAAGAAGTAAGTGGAAAAGTTAAGTTAGATATCCACTTGCCTGATGATTTATCGAAGCAGATTTTAGAATCAGAATCAGCTTTAATGGCCAAATACCGACACAACATGCAAGGAATTTGGTTTCGGCTGTTGGTGTCACCCTAAGAATTAATAATAGAAATAGGAAAAGAAAGAAAAAATACAATTAACAGGAGAAAGTCATTGCAGTGTTTTGTCCAATGCTAAAATAAAACTGGGTTCCCTTTTGCAGTGGACACATCATTTAATTAGAAAACGTGTGCTTTGTTCAGGGAGGTTTTACATTTCACGTTACTTATGAAGAGGCTATTTGTGGAAAGAGAGCACACACAGTTTTCCTTTTTTTTTTTTTTTTTTGCTGTATGGCCTCTGCAAACAAAATGCTGAATTACATGAGCTTTGCTCAGAAGGAGAGAAAAAAAAAAAAAGCCCAAGCAGCCGGTGATATGCACAGTGGTCTCATTTGTAGCAGGCGGCTGTGCAGCAGACAGAGAGCTTGAACAAGCAACAGAGGCAAAGAGAAACCAAAGAGGAGCCATCAGGTAACACGACTGCCTTCTGGTTTCTTGTAGGACCGTAAGAATGTGAGCGAGTTGGTTCGTAGCAACATGTGGGACATATTCTTGGGGGTAGTTGGTTTTTTCTTCCAGACAAAAGTAGGCCTCTGTTTTTTAGGCTTTGCTGCTGCACCAGATGGTGACGCTCTCAAAAACTGGGTCAGATTTCAGAAAAGGCTGGAGACACCCTGAAAAATGTATTTAATTATTTTTATTTAAACGTGGAAGCTGCCAGTGATTCCTGCTTCCAGTTTTGGCAGAAACCCACTGAATTTGTCTTTCAGTCTTTTTGTTGAAGCTCATCTGATAGAAAGGCTGGTTTTTAGTGGTTTGTCTGTTACCAGTCTGTTTAAAACGCTCGTAGTTTCTACACATGTACAGACTGTGTGCTTTATAGGTCAGCTGGAGTGTTTTGAGGTCTGTTGGTTTAAGCCCACCAGTAATATTGAATAGCAGTTTATTCTTTTATATTGTAGCTCCAAAGTTTACTTGCCACCACTTTTAGCCTGATCCTGTGGTTGTGATGTCGGTTCAGTCGCAGTTTGAAGTGTGATGAGGACACAGTTAGAGTTAAACTGTTTGCACAGTAACAGGCTGTGAATTAAGCAGTGTGCTCCAGCTGACGTTCTGTACACTGGAAACGTACCGTCCTCCAGCTGAGACGCACCTTTCTCGGCTATATTTTGCTGAAAGATGGGCCGATAACCCTGTTTCTACTGGTAGAAATTTTAGGATCATAATAGAGGAAATGAATTAATTTGAATGATTGTGTTGCGAAAAAGTGTTGAGTGCAGAAGAGCTGCTAGAGAGCAGCAGCAGGGTGTTTATATCGTCTTTTGTCCTGTATACACAAATTCAGTTAATTACGTTATCGGCATTAAGAGCACGCTGAAGCCCTGTAAGGTGGCGTTTCTGATACTGTCATAGTAAAAACTTTGCCTGCACAAAATGTGTCTGAATCTGCCGGAGCAGCGATGATGGAACTGCATAAATAATTTGTACCACTAGAGGGGGGTCTTTACTTTTTTTTAATGTCAATCTTGGCCTGAATGCTCCAGTTAATGATATAAAACAACATTTCCTAAATCCGCTTTCATGTTATCAGTCGGTAGTCAGTTCTTCTGGCTTTAGTAACGCAGTTTTAATGTATGTTTAATCATCTGTAACACGAAAGATCCTTAATCTGGAGCATTTCTGAGTCGTTTAGGTTGTATTCAAGATGAGTTTGAAAAGCCAAAGTAGAGCTACCAGGCAGTAAAAATGTGAGTCTGTGTGATTGACCTAACCACCGTAGTTTATCAGGTTTAGCTCACAATCTAGTGATGAGTGTGACTGTAACAGGAAATACCATGAAAGGAAATTTAAAATAAGTAAAGTGCCATTAAAGAGAAAGAAGACACTCGCCTGATTTGTTTAACTTGACTTCTGACAGCTTGCTTCGTTACTGCTGTTGTTTTCCTGGACTACAAGAACCATGAAAGCTCTGCACACACTGAACTTGTCATAGGTTGTGTTACTGGCCCTTGCAGGCTATTGGACGCCACTATTTATATTACTTTCTGTCAGGTGGGCCTGTGCTGCATGTGTTTAGGCGGCTGTTCTCCCCTCAGAATTTTCCAGCAAAGACGACTGGGAGTTCAGCTCACTCACTCAGCTGGTTCCTGTGCCTGTCCACACTGTCCATTCTGTGTTCCTTAACTTTTTAGTCACTTGCCGTTCATCTGGATGCTATATCTGTTTCCTCTCGGCTGAATGGACACGTTGTCATGATATCTGGTGTTTCTAACGGCTATTTATAGACGAGTGGAAAAGCTTTTGTCCTTCGCTCACCTTGGCTCTCAGCTGGTGGAGTGTGGTCGCTGCTCAGGCTTGCTGGCTGTCATGCTAGCTACACACTTTGATTTGCGATGGCCTCCGCTGTGGCTGTTTTTCACCGCATTAGCTACAGGAAACTCGTTTCCTGGTTGCTAGGGCAACCAAGGAGGATGGCCCCCAGCAGGAGTTGGGGAAGCCTTGGGCTGCCTTGCAGCTCGTCGCTGTGCAGCACGCCTGCTGACCTGCTGCTGCTGCTGCTGCCTGGGAGGAGGAGCCAACTTTGCAGAGGAGCTTCTCCTGGCCCAGTTTGGGTCCTGCCGCCCCATTGCCCCACCATGAGACAGAGCCTCAGCAGCAGAGCTAGCGCTCCTCTCTCCCTCTTCTGGCCACTGCGCAGCTCTGACTCGCTCTGCTCCAGTAGTAACGGAAGCACAGGCGGCAAGATGTCATCCTCTTCCTCTACCTCCTCTTCCAACAGCGATGGACAAGGGAAGCCTAAACCTAAATCCCCGTTTCACAAGAGAGGGAGCCTGCAGAGCACCACCAGCCCTGGTGAGTGTGGGTGAAAAGGGGTCCCATAGAAAGAGTGAACTCTGCTGCTGCATGGATGTGCAGAAAAGATGCTTGTGCATTGGTGTTTAATTCATGCTGCTCCACAGTAGCAGTAAGAGGTGGGGAGCGCTGCAACTCTAGTTAGTTGCTCAGTTTTATTTCTGTTCATTGTTGATGTTCAGCTTGAATGACTGATGTTGGCTGTTTAGCATTCAGCGTGCACGCTCCTCTGTGTGTAATTTACTTTAGTGATACACTTAAGTTCAAAGATTTTTTTCACAAATCTGGAACTGACTTGATCTTTTAACTGCACTTTTGTTTTTGCTCTTGTTTATTAAAGTCAGTTTTGTTTTTTGTTTTGTTACTGTGCCTATGGGATGTTTTTTAGATGCTAGCATACACATAATGAGCAACCAACCACTCAACAGCACATCTGTGCAGTTCCACCTTGAAGCTGCAGGGTATCGATGACAATCTTAAAAACAGACTTCCAGGGTTCCACCAGTAACAAACTCAAGAAACCAGTTCTGTCAGCTTGCAGAGAGGAGCTGCTGGTTATTCGTCTTCAGAATTGTTTTGCGGCTTGAACACGTGAGGCTGGATTTCTGTTCATATTCTATTGATTTTACAAATTGCGTATAGTTCCAATGAAACGTTTGCTGTTTTAATTACTTAGAACAGTCAGTGAGTTGCTGAAATACTTGTTGATTAGATTTTCCAGTCAACTCATCGATTAATTAACAAAACTCGTAAGCTGCTGTTTACTAGCTGTCACTTCAGGAACTTTGTTGTTTATTTTTAACTGCAATTAAAAACTTGACACCGCTTTTACTGATTACTACCATAACTGTAATCATGAAGAAACAGCACCCAAGTGTGTTCTAATAATTAGAAATTGTTATTGCTCACTCAAATAGATAACAGCCCTGTTTTTGTATTGATTATTGGGGCTGTCACAGTTATGAAATTTCAGCTGCTGATTAATTATCATACATAAAATTGTTATTGGTGATTTAATAGTTTTTTTCCCCATTAATTTTATGTCTCTATTAGTTTTGGATTAGTGGTCCAGTGATCCTTCTTCTTCATTTAAACTAGAATGTGTTCATAGTGGTGCCGTGGTGTTTAACTTTCAGCTTATCAATGACATTAGTCTCAATAGACACTCATTGAAACGCACTCAGTCGGATATTAGAAGTTCAGCGCCGTCACATTAAACCATCGCTGGAGAAGGAAGTGCAAACGGTGGAAAGTGATGCAGAAATAGTGGCTGAAACATGACATGGTTCAGTTTGTTTCTATATAGATGGATGATCAGTTCAGACAGCTGTGATCAGGTGATTGTGTCTAAATTATGTGTAAATTCCCAAATCATGCACTGATGTACACCCTCGAGTTAACTTGTGACTATAATCTGTTTTACATTCACGTCTAACGTTGCCTCAACTCGTAGAAAACACTCAAACATTTTGAACATTTCTTTTTCACAGTGAATATTTGACATGTATTTATAAGTCTAGAAAAGTTAGTAAGCTGGTTTATTAGATTGAAAAGTGATGCAGAGCCTTGGTTGACCTCTTCCCTCGACCATTACAGTTTATCAGTACTTTACAGATTCTTGCCTTCTCTTATCTTATCTTGTCAGCCGGGGTTAGTCAGAGCAGTGGGATGGGATTTTCACCTCTCTTATCATGTTACTTTAGCTAATAATCACTTTATTCATAGCTAAAGTCCTCCTTATTCTTCAGACTGTTCCAGATACAATAAGTGTAATGAGCTTTGATTGGGCCTTTGGCTATATTTTTAATTGAAGATACACGCTCGTGACATCTTCTTGGAGATGTCCGCCCGTCCTGGGTGTGCCGCTGTCAGAGTTTGTCGCTGTCATCTTACTACGTCATGTGCCTCGGCATTAGTTCATGTAGGTAATATGTAGTGAATATGGCGCTAAATGAATAAGACTGAACTGAACACGTGCAAAGTGAAACAACATTTGTAAAATTCAGTTTCCAAATGCTGCTTTGATTTCCTGAGTCAGGCTACTTACTCAGCTCATCTATAACACTAATAATTATTATGAAAAAGCAGCTGAAAATTCAATTTCCACATAAAAGATATTTGTTATTGGCTGATTTATGTGATTAATAAGCACACATGTTGACATTTTCTTTAGACTTTGTTTTAACAGGCCTGTGGCTCACTGGTGGATTCATTCAAGGTCTGATTAACTTTTGAGTGTGATGGGATGCACGCCAAATGATTGTAGTTCTGTGATTATCTTTGAGGTTGATGCTAACTGGTCTCGACGGGGAGAAGCTAGAAAGCTAGACCAATAATTTATCTGTGAAAGCAATTAAATGTTAATATTGATTTAGTTTGAAGCCATATCCTCAGCGTGCCATAGCACAGCACAAAAGTTGAGCGACTGGAGGGATGCAGCAGCAGATCTCGAGCAGTAACTCACGCTGACACACAGTATACAGTATTTGCTGAGGAAGCCTGTATTTGCTGCAGTAATAAATAACTTAGAGGTCTCTCCATCCATGCAGTCATTTAAGTCCTCTCAATTAGCCGCTTGGCTGAGCCCTCTGCACTCCCAGTCCGTCAACAGCGCCACATGTAGCCTTCCCATTATGCTGCTTCCATCTGACCACACCAGCCTGTTAGTATTTTTGACTCCAAATTGCTGTTGTAAAAAAAACCCACCGTAGCTGCAGCTTGAGTAGCTGGAGTTCTAACTACGTCATGAGCTGCCGGCTGTATGTTTCCTTTGTTGCTTCCTGTAACCTCTGCAGAAATAGCTCTGCTCTGTTTCATCCCTCCTTTCAAGATTTGTTGAAGTTTACATTTTTTATTTTTTTCTCCAGATATATCTATCCGGCGCTCCTGCTCAGTTCCCTTATGTAATGTTTGGAGTTGATTTGCTGGTGGACACATTGATTAGTCAGTCAGCTTTCTCATCTGCAGGAATCCGTCTCTGCCTGTAGGCTGCTCTCTCCCGCTGGACCTTCACTGCCTCACATAAAGCAGAATATGTAATGTGTTCAGCAGCCTAAGTTATATGACGTGATATATAGAGGTTATTAAAGTATCTCCCAGAGAGGTGGAGGGGATTCCTCTCACCGGCTTGAATTACTGCTCTGCTTTCTGCTGCGCCCTGATACGAAGGCTCCCATCTCGATCCTCCCTAAAACGCTGGGCGGCAGCTCGATGCAGCCTTGTGTGCATTTTATCTGCAAGCTGTTTGGTCATCTAGTGTGATGTTGGAAGCTTTTTTAGGAAGGGTTGTCGGCTCAATAACAGTGATCCCTGCTGTGTTCACACTAGATTTGGCACCAGATAATATATCAAGAGGATAGAGGGTCTGTGGAATGTGCATTTGGATTAAATTACAAAGTGCCACCTTCCTAAACTTTACTGAGAGACTGTGTTTGTGTGTGTAATTAATTGAAAATGTTTATTTATTCTAAATACTTAATTATATTTGTGCTATACGCTATCACCTGGTGATATGAACTTAAACTGCATCAGTTCTCATTAGACCACCAGCTCCACATGAATGTGTGCTTTTTATTCTCTGTACATCCTGCTGCATGCTGCAGCTGAGTAGTTACTGTACTCCCTCCACCGCTCCAGCAGCCCCCGTTCTGCTTCATTATTAATCAGATGTACTGTTCCTGTCATGGCATGCCTCTGTGGGTCTGTCATGAATTTATGTGTTCTGTCTTTCATGACTTGCCGAGTCGTGTGAGCTCTGTTCTGTCGGCCCAGAGGGGCTTGGTTCACTCCCTCCTGAGTCATTAGCACATCTACACGTTGTTGCCCTGTGGACTTCAACCCGCCCAGCTGGTAACCCCTGTGCCCGCCCACATCATCGCACTCCCACCCGCCGGTCCCGCATTAGAGTGAAACATGTGACAAGCAAATACTGGGACTTCCTCCCCTGGGCCCCATAACCTCACAGTTGTAGTTGTTTCAGCATATAGTGGGTGTTTTCCTCTCCTGCTGAAAAGGTGCCACGGTCAGGTTGTTTCCTCTCAGCTGAGAGACAAAGCAGAGCCTCGCTGTCACCGCACAGTAGATTATCATATTTATATTGTTGAACTGTGAAATTTAACGAATTGTGAGCCAGTGAAGACGCATCTGGGATTACGAGCAGCTACAGAGGTACAGTAATGACTCAGTTTGAACATGTGTATGTGGGAATTACTTTGGTAAAATGTGAAAAAACAACATGCACTTTTTCTGATGGACTGCTTTGTCTACCGTACATTATATCTCACATCTGGTAAGTACACTTCTGCACTTCTCCATCGCCCCACTAGAGGGAGACTCTGCTGTAAAAGTGCTCTGTAAACACATCCCATCAGTTTGAAACAAGTGGCCGGTTGTCAGCGTCTCCAGTCTGCAGTCAGACATGACTGAGGACCAATTTGCTCTGTGTTTGGGTGGAAAATTCCAGGGCTTTCTTCTGCTATGAATAGCTTGATAGCTTCCCGTGTAACAGAGGGAGTGTGCCGGTTCTGGAAAAGGGATTTTGAAGAGCTGGGAACCCGGGCCTTGACAACTCTCACACCAACAGGTGTGCCTGTTGTTGTTGCTGAAGGCGACCAGATAGCCAGCACCACTGCCATATCTGTCCAACACTCACACAAACACACAGCAGCCAGACTCAGCACCGGACCGGTCCGCCGTATCTCACTGGGTGATCTGCAGGCTGACTCTACAGTGCACATGGTTACGATGGGTTGTGTTTCATTGCTGAGGTACAGTTAAGCACACTGCTTTGATCTGTCTCCGTCCATGGCTCCTAATGAAGATCCGCTTTCATTTAATCCACCTCATTTGATCGCAGATGAACCAGCGTCAGCTGATGTCTGGTCCCTGACTGGCTTTTTATTGTCATATGACCTCAGTGAGTCATTGAACCCTTTGCCCCCTGTTCAGTCAATGACCTCCCAGATCATATTCTCACTTTGATTGGGAACGCTCACACACTG